TGCATGTAAAAAAAATGTGCATTTGCTATTTTTTTTAGGATCCTGGAAAGCATTGCACCAGCAATCTGCAGTGCAATGCTGGACTCCTGCAGACTGTCAGTGTGGGCTGTCCACCCGTACATTGAACAGGCAGGCAGTTTCACATTGACAAGAAGAATTAATGAACTACCAGAGTGCTTAATAGCGTTGTGGCCAGTGGCGGACTGACCATTCGAGCACTCGGGCACTGCCCAGGGCCCAGGGTCAGTAGGGGGCCCCATGAAATGCCCCTGGTACCTTTCTTATAGGCTTTTTTGAGTGTGGGCAAGGACACAGGGGCCCCATGATCCCCTATTGCCCGAGGGCCCCATGAGTTGTCAGTCCGCCCCTGGTTGTGGTAGTTAATCGAGGACCATAAGCCGAAAGCTGCAAAGGCTGTCTGGACTTGTAGTTTCCTATTCAAAGAACTCTATGAATGAATGATGCAGCTGGGCAGGTAAAGCCTTGCTCGGCCGTGTACTTTTTAAATTGTGACAGCTAGCTGGGGGAGAAGATCTCTGGCTAGCTGTTACAATTGGAGATCAGAGTGGTGTGGGGGCTGGTGTTACAGTAACATGTTAAACACATGTAAAAACAGATATGACAGCATTTCATGAGTAGGATAGGTTTGTCATCTTAGTTATGCATACAACAATCAATAGTGAGCCAATTACATAATTGCTGCAATAATGTACAACAGGGAAAGGGGAGGGAGAAAAGGTGAGATAGAAAAATAAGGGGGTGAAAGTGAGCAATCCAAGAAACACCCGAAAAGTCTCAAAAAGTGAAAAGAAACAAATGGACCAATCAGTGGGAGGTTAGAGCTTGGAAAGTGGCTGAGTTACTATACGCTCTTCCAACATGTCCAAGTGGTGCAGACTCTTTTGGGGTCAGGGCTATCTTCCATAATCAATGTCTCCATTGCCATTGTTGAGTATGTGAGCCCATTCCAATAGACTTGGGGAGAGGTGAAATTCCAGGATCGTGACATTATTATTATTATTATACAGTATTTATAAAGCGCCAATAGTTCGCTCAGCGCTGTACATTACAGAGGGGGACAGAACATGTGACAGAACAATACCAATACAATGCAAAACATGAGGGGATCGAGGGCCCTGCTCCTCGGAGCTTACAATCTAGGAGGGAGGGGATGGTGGCACAGGAGGAGATAGCTGTGGGGGATGGAGTGGTAGGAAGAGTGGAGGAGGTCGGCAAGTTAGCAGGGGGTGGGGTAGGCTTCCCTGAAGAGATGGGTTTTCAGGGTGCGCCTAAAGGAGAGGAGAGTAGGTGATAATCTGATGGGTTGAGGCAGGGAGTTCCAGAGGATGGGTGACACCCTGGAGAAGTCCTGGAGGCGGGCATGGGAGGAGGAGACCAGGGAACTAGAGAGAAGGAGGTCTTGTGAGGAGCGGAGTGTGCGTGTTGGGTGGTACTTGGATATTAGGTCAGTGATGTAGTTCGGGGCAGTATGGTGGACAGCTTTGTGAGGGGGGTCCGGCGGGCCAGTGGAGACGGAGCGGTTGGAAAGGTGAATGAGTCTGGCAGCCGTATTCAGGATTGACTGATAGCCAGCGGCGAGGCAGGCCAGTGAGGAAGGAGTTGCAGTAGTCGAGTCGTGATATGATGAGGGAGTGGATGAGCTGTTTAGTGGTTTCTGGAGTTAGGAACGTGCGGATTTTGGCGATGTTGCGGAGGTGGAGTCTGCACGAGTTTGTTAAAGATTGGACTTGGATATGAACCACATAGTGGTTCGAGCTGCCAGTAGGCCGTACCCCAGGCAGGGCAGTGGATAAGGGGGTACCACCAGTCCTCCTGTACGGGGCCCAGGCCAGTAGGGGGCCCAGGCAGCAGGGTGAATCAGATGTTGACAGGGAGGTTGATCGGCATGGTGGGGGCAATTACTGGAACCAATCTCCAGTATGGTATTCTCAGCAGCAGCTGGAAAGCTGGCTTCTTCTCCTCTGCCACCTGCTGGTTTTCAGCTGCTACAGAGAAAGCCATACAGCGGATCGGTTCCAGTACTTGCCCCCTACTGCACCCATCAGCCTCCCTATGCCAATACATTTCCCCCTGCTGCCCAGGACCCCCGATGTGCCCCCACCTCCACAGTGCTGCAAGCTTCCCTCTTCTTCTTTCCACTGGCAGTTTCAAGCACACGATAGGATTCTCCAGGATGGAGAGTAGGGGTAAGGGTCCAGTAAATGATACATTTTCCAGTCCTTTCCTTTCCTCAATGAACACAATGAGTGTGTTTGGTACCGATCACTTACTACGTTCATTCATAACTGAAGAATATCAAACTGTTTTTTTATTCTCTTGGGGGGAGGGGGGCGCCGCCTTGTCAGGTTGCTGTATGAGGCCTCGTAGTTTTTAACAGCAGCCCTGGCTGCAGGATGTCCTTCGAGACAAACCCAGGGATCACCAGCACCAGAGGAACTGTGTAATGGGGAGCCTACCTCTTCACTACACCTCCAACACTCACTTGGAGTGGAGGGGTACCTCCGATGGAGGTCTACTGGGGTCCGATTCCGTAAGCACAATGTCTCATAGCTATTTCCTTAGAAGTAGGAGGAGACAACTTATGAGTAAAAATTGAACTGCTTTTTCCAATCATCTGAAGAAAAGGAAGTCTGGAGGTATGATTCTACTTGCAGCATTTTTAAAGGGTCTGAACATAGGGAACTGTGTATGTATTGCAGAAATTATTATTTTTTCACTTTGTCTAGACACACACTCTAATAACCATTTATATTTGCAATGCTTTCTTGATGTATGCTTCTTTATTTAATAACTTTATATCTGTATTGAATTAAATAGTAGTGCAATGTTACAAAGCTATCTTCTTTTGTATAGGAGTATCTATAAACATTAGATTTTTTGCATAGAATTGTATAAAGGCAGTAGAAGGTTCTTTGGATCAATAGCAACGAAAATGATGGAGGGGGACTTGTACAATGCATTCTATAAACCAAGGAGGACCTGTTGCCTGACACTGATGAATATAACAATAGCTTCTTTATTCATAGAATCTTCGTTGGATGGCACCGGAGGTTTTCAGCCAGTCTACACGCTACACCATAAAGGCCGACATGTTCAGCTATGCCCCTCTGCCTTTGGGAACTTCTTACTGGCGAAATCCCATTTGCTCATCTAAAACCAGGTAGAGTGTTTGATTTGCCTATGATCCCTAGCGTATTCTGCTTCAGTTATCATCATTATTTCCTTCCACTGGGCAATGGGCATGGGTCACCACATTGGATGTATAGTAGAACTTCACTTTTTACAACATTTATACATTTACTTGTCCCAGCAGCCTCTGAAAAATGTAATGTGTTGCCTTTTCTGAACAGAAGCCAAGCTACCTCCTGGCTCTGAGTAAATCCTGTAATGTTAAATGGTTTACTCATATTTATGCTTTTAGAGACCTTAAAGCCCAAAAGGGGAAGTTCTGCTTTAAGGACTGCTCCCCCGCTCCCCATTAAGGATTGGGACCTTTGGGGGGTGGGGAGCAGGTACCCGAATTTGACAGGTACCCGCTCCCACTTCCAGTCCGATCACCTAGGCGACCGGAAGTGGAAGGTGTCCTCCCTCCCTCCCTGTAGTCTTTTGGAACATGTGACAGGTCCCAGAAGACTACAGGACCATTCTCGAAGTGCAGCGCTACTCGCGCATGTGCAGTGGGCACCCGGCTGTGAAGCCACAAGCTGTCACAGCCAGGTGCCCACGCTGAAGATGCCGGACTCCTGGAATACAGGACGGCCGGTGAAAAGGGCTGCGGGGGACACACCACGGGACCGAGGGACAGGTAAGTGGCTGTTTTTGTTTTTGTAGCTGTTGACATTTTTTTTTTTTTTTTGACAGGGTGAGTGAAACTCCACTTTAAAGTGTTTGTAAAGGCTCAAGGTTTTTACCTTCATGCATTCTATGCATGAGATTGAAAACTTTTCTGTGTGCAGCAGCGCCCCCAGCCCCCCCAATACTTACCTCAGCCTCATCAAGATCCTGCGAGGTATATGAGAACCTCAACTGTCCCGGGTCTCTTCCTTCTCATTGTCTGAGACAGCAGTAGGAGCCATTGGCTCCCTCTGCTGTCAATCACAGCCAATGAGCCAATGAGGAGAGAGAGGGGACAGGGAGGGGCTGAGCCGCTGCTCTATGTGTGAATGGACACATGCAGCAGTGGCTTGGGAGCACACCTCCTTGGGTGCCCCCATAGCAAGAAGCTTGCTATGGGGACACCCTAGAGGAAGAAGGAGTCAGAACTGCTGGCAGGGGATCTGAGAAAAGGAGAATCTGGGCTGCTCTATGCAAAACGCATACCACAGAGCAGGTAAGTATGGCATGTTTGTTATTTAAAAAAAATAAATAAAAAACAGAACCTTTAGTATCGCTTTGAGGTGAGGTTCACATCTGATTTTGATATGATTTTCAGTGCGATTATGTAGTGCAACTTGGATGTGGTTTGCATATTCTATGGGGCCAAAATTGCACTGGAGCTGCACCAACGTAGTACAGAAACCTTTTCCAAAATCACTCCGTGGTGAGTTGCATTGATGTGAACAGACACCATTGAAAATAATGTGATTTCCAGTGTCATGCATCTGAAATCACACTGGGAAGCCAAACTAAAAGAACTGGGGGTGCCTCACTAGGTTCTTGTATGCCCAAATCCAGTGTCTCACATTGAGGGTGGAGGCTTGGGAAGAACCCATCCTGGCGTGATATATAAAATGCACACAGGAGAAAAAGCTCCAAGACCCGCACACCAACAAAACCCAATGGTCAATAGAATGGAAGCAGTCTAAGCCTGACTCCAACAAGGCCACGCCACTGATGCGTTTCACCCCACCCACAGGGTTTAGTCATGGAGGAAATCACGCTACTGTGAATGGAGTCTTAGGGGTACCTTATTGCAGGGCTTAAAATTTCAAGTCTTGAGCTACTAGCCAGTCCTTAAGAGGTACTTGCCACCAACAAACACATACAGAGACACCTGTACACACACACAGACATGTACATACACACACAGAAACATGTATACACACGCATAGAGACACATTTACACACACACACATACAGACACATGTATACACACACAGGCACGTACAGACATACATACACACAGATACATGTACATACACAGAAATACACACGCACAGACACATGTACATACACACAGACACATATACGTACATACACACACGTACACACAGACACATGTACATACACACATACATGTACATACATGCAGACACATGTACAGATACACACATGTACATACACACAGACACATGTACATGCATACACAGACACACACACGCATGCACGCTGTTAAGTGCTCTTTCCTCTCCCTGAAGCCACTACTGGCTGACATAGAGGATCATGTGACCAGAGTGAGCTGAAATTAGGTAGACACACGCACACACACACACACACACCCTATAAAAAGTTGCAGTACTTTGTTGTTCACTCACAGAGCCGGGTACTGCACTCTAGGGGGAGGCAGAGAGCACAGCACACACTCCTTCCTTTGCTTTCACTGCGCTCAGCTATTGAGCAGTCTGACGGCTCCCAGTGACAGATCTGGCCTGAGCTCTGAGCCTGCTCAGCAAGACAGCCCTGGGGGACACACTCGCCCCCCACCATAATTTCCACTCGCCATTGGCAAGCAGGCGAGTGGAAATTTCAAGGCCCTGCTTATTGGATACTACAGAAGAACCAAGCCCTGTCTAAAAAGTGAAGGGGCATTATGTCTGTTGTGAAGTATACTTTAGCTAGTTAATAAAAAACAAACCTCAGTTGTGTCAGTAGGACACATGCCAGAATTATCTAATAGTATTATAATAATAAATACTTTTTCCTAAAATGTAGACATCAATTGTATGGTCTCTGGCTCATGGGAGCATTGTGCACGTTTCACAGTACTGCAAATATCTTGTTTGATGTCGGTCAGGCAAGTTCTGTCTGGTAGACTTAGTATTATGCAGCACTACTAAGCAGACAGTACAGCTTGCACCTCTAGTGATAGAAACTATACCTAGCGTACGAGGCCACATGCAGATATAAACGTTTCATGATGATGTCAAAGGTCCATCCACATTCTAGTACTGGAGTGGAAGCGAGGAGGAATCGCCAGCTCCCACTCCAGTAAGGTAAGTTTTCCTTTGCATTACACTCCCCTAAACTAAACAATCAGTAATTCATGAATAATGTATGGTGGGGGTGCCAGGGGCACCCTAACGACAAATTTTAAATGCTGACCTAAGTTCAGCTTTAAATACTTGAGAATATGTTATGCTCCCAATTTTTTTTTCCTTTTTCAGTGTTTTGCTTCCAATTTAGACAAAAATTGTCAAAACTATGATTAGTGCTAAAATAATCTAAGGCGCTATTTGCTTCTCCTGCAATGATTTGAAGGATCTAACGGGCATTTGAGAGATGAAGTCTGACACAGTATAAATATTTGGAATGTTATACATTTACATGCATATTTATCTTTCCTTAAAAAAAAAAAAGTGTTTCTGGATCTAAAGCAATGAGGACTGATTGGTGTTCAATTATAATTATATGCTTATCAAATTTGAACCTACAATTTCTGCGCTTAATCACATACTCCCACGCTGTTATTTGCATACGGTATTTTATTTTTTTAAGTTAGATGTGATAAAATGTTATAACGATTTCTAAAGTTTAATGAGAAGAAGATCTGAAATTTCTACATACAACTTTTTTATTTTTTAATATACTGTAGCTTGAATTCATTAGAAGGTACATGATAACCCAACATAATGTTCAATGATTCAAAAGGAAGCTCCTGTTTTTTCTTTTCTTTTTTTTTGTGTTGGATATTCAAAAAATAATCAAGTGCTCCACACTCTATAACGTGCCATATTTAAAAAATAAAAACAAATACTGAACCACTAAGTCATGTGGTTGGTCACACATTTGTATATATAGACTGAAAATCACAAAGAAGTCATCAGCATACATTGTGGGATTTTTGATTGATTGGGACTTCATACATACAGTTCACAGTACAGTATACAAATGCGAGCCGCTGAGCACTAAAGGTAACCAATAAACCTCAATTAACCAAAATAAAAGAAAAATGCAGCACTAAGATCAATAAATTAAAATAAGGTACATATAATGATACATGAATAAAAGCTCATAGTTGACTGTAAGTGTTCGTAGAGATACTGTATTCATAGGAATTCTGCGATTTCTCTTAATTCGGTGCGATTAGATGTAGAAAAAAATGCGCACTCACCGGAACGCATAATAAAAAAGCGCATAAATATATATAAACTCCTGATGTCATCAAAGGTCATCCAAATGGGGGCAGAAATGGGGTGGAGATCCTTTGCCAGGTATGTGGGTCCTGCGCAGGGGCGGACTGACCATTTTGAAACTCGGGCACTGCCCGAGGGCCCGGGGTCAGTAGGGGGCCCCATGAGATGCCCCTGGTACCTTTTTCATAGGCTTTTTTGAGTTTGGACAAGGACACAGGGGCCCCATGATCCCCTATTGCCCGGGGGCCCCATGAGTTGTCAGTCCACCCCTGGTCCTGGGGCTTCTGATGTGGATCAAAAGGGTGCCAGAGTTCCCTTTAAGGGATGGATAGGTGCAGCTCAACAGGTATACAGGAGGCTCCCCTCTGGAAACTGGATGCTGGGTTGTCTGCAAATTAATACTCCCCAAGGGAGTTAAAGTAGAAGAATACCCATAGTGTAGTAATTACTTGTTTAATTAGGTAAGATAAAACATCCAGATAAAACATCAGACATCCAGGTAAGTTGGTGCAGGTAAAACAGAGCAAATCGCTGTGTACAGTGTGTGCAAATGGGACTAACCGTCCACAGTCAAAGATGGCCGCCGGAGCTCCACGTTGCTGCGGGCGCGCGACGTCACGGTGTTATTGGCTCCTCCTTACGCATTTCGTGCACCCGCACGTCCTCTGAGGGGAACACCTCTTTTATTTTAGTTCACTTTTATTTTAGTTCACAGTATGTGTTTCACTTTTTTATATTATCTCTTCAGTGCATCTGAAGACACTATTTTGAAGTCTATTGATAAGCGTACCTGTATTTTTTTTTTGGCATATCAAGTAATATTATGCAAACTTGCGTTGTATATATAATGACAAGCACAGGAATTGTTTCACTTTTTTTGTGGATATTGGTTCAGTACTTGATTTTATTTTCGATAATATCGTACATTACAGTATATAGAGTGGAGTGCTTCACTATTTTTTGCATAATTATTGCTTAAAGGTCTAGTGAAGTGCAGGGGTGTATTTACCACAAGGCAAACAAGGTATTTGCCTAGGGTGGCATTTTTAAGGGGGGGGCAGCCCTGCCCCTTGGATGAAAGGACAGAAGAAGGGTCACATGCGGCATGGGGACCTGGTGGGTTCTGAGAGATGCTGGGGGTATCATGACGGTGTATGCACAGCCCGACTCTTGTTCCCGGGGATGTCCAGAGCTGTGAAGGTGAGTGTCTTTCTCTCTCTCTCGCAATGGGGGATGGTGGCTGGTGTATGGGGGGCAGTGGTAGTGGAAGGCTTGGGTGGAGAGCAGGGGTGCTCTTGGTCATTGTCAGGCTTTTTCTGTGGGGGGCACCAATTTTTGTGTTGCCTAGGGCAGCACAAAACCTAAGTACACCCCTGGTGATGTGCACTTTTTGGTGGTAGCAGCTCCAAAGACACTATTCATTGTTTTGGTGTTGGTCCTGTAGTACTTTTTTTTTTTTTGAGTAATATTTTTGTGCAGGGGAATTTTCACATATAGATTGTTTTGAATATTGACACAAAGATTACTCCTTTGTTGGATTTTTAGTGCTAGAAGGAAAGGGTAGAGCAGCAGGTACATGGTACCAAATGAAAGATATTTCCACTAAAGAGTCCACTTCATCAAGGCTTAAAAGGATCGGGGAAAAGAGAGGTTATTGTGCTGAGGTTTTTGTGCAGCACTGTGCTGCATGGATCTGTCAGCAGGGGTGTGTGAGGGTTTTTACAGGGCAGCAGCCACTTTGCCTGTTCCAGGATTCAGGTAGCTGGGCTATATACACACCTATCTGCTGCAGAGAAGGCTTAACCACAGGCGCGCATAGTAAATTATGGTTTTTCATGCAGATAATCGGCATGATGTGCAATGACATGGGCGCATTTGATAACTCCCAAAATTTACATGGTTTTTCCTTACAGAAATGTTATGTGTGAAGCAAAAGACCATCTTTTCTTCCTTTCCCCCAAACCCCTAAGGACCCTAAGGAAACTGCTTATATTACAGTTGCATAAAAGCATAAGTGTATGCATTTTATTATATCAGTTTTTTGTCTCTTATATATTTTGATGCATACTGTGCTTACACACACACATGTGTAATTTATTCTATAGTGTAATGTTTTGCGTATACCAGTAGTACATACTACATTTTATACTTAAAATGGTATAATTTTTGCATACACCTCCTGTGGGAAGTGTTCACCTGTGAGCCAGTGCTACAAAGACTTTAGCTCCCAAAAATTGGGGTGTGCCATTTTAATATGGTCTTATACGTCGTGGTATTGTCTCATAAAATGTGAACTTTGAGTTTGTTTGGCCGGGTCAAGCTCCAGGAAATGGATGTATTTCTCACGAAAATTGTAACACATGTTTTGCTATACACAGTTTATCCCTTTTGCGCTGTATTGGGACAAAACAAAAAAAGGGAGGAAAGAAAGCAAATTCGACATAATGTTCACACAAACCTCCAAAAAAACAAATGGCACCCTTTACTGCGGATAAAATAAAATTTGTTACAAGATTGATCTGTAAACTCAGCCTGGGGCAAGTAACTGCAATATAAGATGTAAAAAAGGAGAGACGGTCACTTAACCTTTGCATTGTGTGTACTGTGCCACACGCTGAGAACAAGCTGAGAACCAAAATTGTGGCAAAATTTCAAAACGTACCGGTATTTGCCTTTGTCCACAGTGCGCAACCTAAGAAGTTTTAATCACTGTAGCTAATCTCCCGCTGGATGCATGATGTACGGTAGCGGAATGTGGATTAAGCAGAAGCCCCCTACATGTTCCCAGACATACACTCAGGGGCCATCCTGTCAACATTTAAATGCAAATGAAACGGCGAGCGCAAAATGTATTCTACAAAGAACAAAACATCGTACCTACATGTGGGCACAGATTACAAGAAGTTGCCAACTCCAGCAGCCTGCGTAGCTGCCTCTGCCCTGGTCGTGGCGTTACGTAGATGAATATGGTGGCAGGCAAAGCCTGCTCGGATTGACATAACAATAGCAAGACGTACCAGTTTGCCAAAAATGTACTCTTGAGTATCAGCCAAAAGCCTTCTGGGAAAAGTCAAGAGAGAGGCTGTTTCGGTAAAGCTGATTGACTGTCACAACCTACAGCCACAGTCCGAGGCAATGGTTTTGGGGTTGTTTGCCTTAGTGAA